TTCTCCCCACTGGATTGCTCTTTGTTTTGGAAAAATCTCTTCAGGACGCTTCATTATTGGCTGGGCTCACTTCTTAAACCCCTGGGGAAAAGCTAAGGAATCACTATGTCAATATTCTCTTGGGTAAAACTTTCGGGGTCTTCTCCCATCACGTTAGCTAAGTGTCTCTTTCCTATGTTGAGTTCTTCAATCTGCTTTATGGTAAAATCCACTCTGTAAGTTTCACATCTTGAGGCTGTAACATTTTTCTTGTTACAACTGCAGTGTGTCTTAGCCTTGGCTGTGCGTAGTCACTCGGTCATGTCCCGCTCTTTGTGACCCCATGCACTGTAACCCGACAGGCTTCTCTGTCTACGCAAATTCTCCAGGCAGGAATACTGGAGTGGGTTGCCATGCCTTCCTCCAGGGGATCTTCCCAACCCAAGGATTGAACCCAGGTCTCCCACATTTCACGCGGATTCTTTACCATCTGAACCACCAGGGAAGCCCTTCTTAGCCTTGACAACTGGCATCTGGTACTTGTCTGTAGCTCAGCAGTGGTGGCTTTCCAGAGGCCTTGTCTGGGGCAAAGCCAGTCCTAACCCTAAGAAAGAGACAGAAGGAGGCAGCTAGGGGGCAGGACACACAGGGAGCAACCATGTTGACAAAGGGAGATAGGGAGAGGACAGAGGGGCAGGGCCTGCAAACGGCAGCACACATCTTTTAAAATTAGTATTTTCTTCTTCTTTGGATAAATACACGGAAGTAGAATTGCTGGGTCATATGGTAGTTCAATTTTAATTTTTTTGAGGCACCTCCATACTGTTTTCCATGGTGGCTTCATGAATTTACATGCCCACCAATAAATGTATGAAAGTAAAAGTCAAATTGTTAGTCACTCAGTCATGCCCAACTCTCTGCGACCCCATGGACTGTAGCCTGCCAGGCTTCTCTGTCCACGGAATTCTCCAGGCAAGAACACTGCAGTAGGTACCCATTCCCTTCAGCAGGGGATCTTCCTGACCCAGGGATCAAGCCTGGGTCTCCTGCAGGTTCTCTTTACTGTCAGAGCCACTGGAAAGCCCATAAGCATCCCCCTTTCTTCACATGCTCACCAACACTTGCTATTTCTAGTTTTTCTGATACATAGCAATGGATGAAAGAAAAGCTCACCAATGAATTTAGAAAACATTTTAAACTACTCGTAAAAACACAAAATTATAAAAATTGTACAGTGTAGCTAAAGCACTACTTAAAGGGAAACTTATGGCTTTAAAATACTCTAACAAGAAAAGACAAAAGGTATAACATCCATGGAAAGCAGAGAGACAATTGAAAAATTTAACAAAGTTGAGTTAGTTTTTTTGAAAGGTCAGCAAAATTGATTAAGTTCCTAGCTAGAGAGATCAAGAAATAGAGAGAGGGGACATAAATTATATACATACACATTGTTGTTGTTGTTCAGTTGCTAAGTTGTGTCAGAGCCTTTGTAACCTCATGGACTGCAGCATGCCAGGCTCCTCTGCTCTCCACTATCTCCTGGAGTTTGATAAACCCATGTCCATTGAGTTGGTGATGCTATCCAACCAACTCATCCTCTGTTGTCCCCTTCTCCTGCCCTCAATCTCCCAGCATCAAGGCCTTTCCCAATGAGTAGGCTCTCAAATCAGGTGGCCAAAGTATTGGAGCTTCAGCATCAATCCTTCCAATGAATATTTGAGGTTGATTTCCATTAGAACTGACTGATTTGATCTTGTAGTCCAAGGGACTCTCTCAAGAGTCTTCTTCAGCACCACAGTTTGAAAGTATCAATTCTTCAGTGCTCAGCCTTCTTTATAGTCCAACTCTCACATCCATTGTACCATAGCTTTGACTAAACAGAACTTTGTGGGCAAAATGATGTCTCTGCTTTTTAATATGCTGTCTAGGTTTGTCATAGCTTTCCTTCCAAGGAGCAAACGTCTTTTAATTTCATGGCTGCAGTCACCATCTGCGGTGATTTTGGAGTCCAAGAAAATAAAATATGCCACTGTTTACAGTTTTTCCCCATCTATTTGCCATGAATTGATGGGGCTGGATGCCGTGACCTTCATTTTTTGAATGTTGAATTTTAAGCCAGCATTTTTACTCTCTTCTCTCACTCTCATCAACAGGCTCTTTAGTTCCTCTTCACTTTCTGCCATTAAAGTGGTATCATCTGCGTATCTGAGGTTATTGATATTTCTCCCAGCAATCTCTTGATTTCTGGCTCATGATTCATCAAGCTCAGCATTTCATATGATGTACTCTTCATATACATTAAATAAGCAAGGTGACAATATACAGCCTTGACATATTTCTTTCCCAGTTTTGAATCAATCTGTTCTTTCACGTTCAGTTCAAATTGTTGCTTCTTGACTTGCATGTAGGTTTCTCAGGAAGCAGGTAAAGTGGTCTGGTATTTATTCTTATTTAAGAATTTTCCTTAGTTTATTGTGATCCACTAGAAGGCTTTAGCTTTTTCAGTGAAGCAGAAATAGATGCTTTTCTGGAATTCCCTTGCTTTTTCTATGATCTTGCTTTTCTATGTTGGCAATTTGATCATTGGTTCCTCTGTCTCTTCTAAATCCAGCTTGTACATTTGAACCAAGAACTCTTGGTTCATGTATTGTTGGAACCTAGCTTGAAGGATTTTGAGCATTACTTTGTGTATCTCAATGAAGCTATGAGCCAGGCTGTTCAGGGAGAAGGGAATGGCAAAGCACCTCAGTATTCTTGCCTCAAGAACCCCATGAACAGTATGAAAAGGCAAAAAGATATGACAATGGAAGATGAGTCCCCAGGTTGGTAGATATCCAATATAGTACTTGGGAAGAGCAGAGAAATAACTCTAGAAAGAATGAAAAGGCTGGGCCAAAACAGAAATGACACTCAGTTGTGGATGTGTCTGGTGGTGAAAATAAAATTTGATGTTCTAATGAATAAAGAGGGACTATCACTATAGATATTATAGACATCACAAGAATAATAAGAGAATATGAGTGAGTGAGTGAAAGTCGCTCAGTTGTGTCTGACTCTTTGTGACCCCATGGACCATACAGTCCATGGAATTCTCCCAGCCAGAATATTGGAGTGGGTAGCCTTTTCTTTCTCCAGGGGATCTATGCAACCCAGGGATCAAACCCAGGTCTCCCGCATTGCAGGTGGCTTCTTTACTAGCTGAGCCACAAGAGAAGCCCAATAAGAGAATATATTGACAACTTTATGTTCATATATTTAACAATTTAAGTGAAATCGATGAATAGAGCTTACCAAAACTGACACAAGATAAAACAGAAATTTGAAAGAGTCCTATATGGTTATAGATTTATTGATTGATCATGCCTGATTTTTTTTTAATAGAGTGTCTTAATGTATTTTGTGTATGTCATAGATATTCTTATTTTAATCTGTTTGGGCTGCTATAACACAATACTGTTCTCCACCAGCTGTTTTTACCTTTGTCATGTGATCAAAGTTAATACTACCTATGATAGGACAAACTGATACCACGTGCCCCCTGATATGATGCACGGAGAAGGACACAGCATCACTACTGTGGTATTCTTACCAACAGTGAATAATCTGAATTTAATCATGAGGAAGCATCAGAAAAATTCCAATTGAGCAGCATTCTACAAAATAACTGGCTAGCACATTCTTTAAAGTGTCAAAGTCATGAAAGACAAAGAAAGGCTGAGTAACTACTTCAGCTTATAGGAGAGTAAAGTGACCTGACAGCTACATGTATCACATGATAGTAGGTTAGATCTTGAACCAGATAAAGAATATTAGTGGGTAAACTGGTAGATTTGAAGAAAGTCTGTAAATTAGATAATAGTGTTACCTAATGTTAAGATTGATTTTGATGTTAATTTCTTGGTTTTAATGACAGTACTGTGGTTCTATGGAACTTCCCTGGTGATTCAGATAGTAAGGAATCTGCCTGCAGTTCGGAAGACCTGGGTTTGATTCCTGGATCGGGAAGATCCCCGGAGAAGGGAATAGCTACCCACTCCAGTATTCTTGCCTGGGAAATCCCATGAAGAGAAGAAGACTGGTGGGCTACAATCCATGGGGTTGCAAAGAGTTGGACACAACCTAGTGACTAGAACTCTAGCACTCACTGTGGTTATATAGAAGGCGAAAGTGTTAGTCACTCAGTCATGTCTGACTCTTTGACCCCATGGACTGTAGCCCACCAGGCTTCTCTGTCCATGGGATTTCCCAGGCAAGAATACTGGAGTGGGTTGCCATTCCCTTCTCCAGCAATCTTCCCAACCCAGGGATTGAACCTGGGTCTCCCACCTTCCAGACAGATTCCTTACCATCTGAACTATGTAAGCTAATATTTATAGAATATGATGGAAGGTGTATAAGAATTCTTTATAGTATTTCTTCAACTTTTTGTTAGTATTATCTAAAAATTAAATTTTTGTAACTTCTAAGCTTAAAAATGAAAAGAAATTTAACAAAAAGTAGCTCTTGAACTTAACTTGCTCTCTTCAACTAGTCTACATTTGATTTACTGCCTGCTGGTGGTTATGCTGAGTTCAATGTAAACAGTCTCTGGTCTCTTGGAGTTTGTATTCTGGTGGGAAAAGACATTTATTAAAAAAAATACTTTGTTGTTATTTTTCAGTCACTAAATTGTGTCCTGCTCTTGTGTGACTCCATGGACTATAGCATGCTAGGCCTTATCAAGAATGCAGATAGATTTTTTTTTTGCCAGACTCTTTTCCATGAACTAGGCTGGGGCAGAATTTAAAAGCACCAACACTTTGATCTAATATTATGAATTTAAGTCCCTAATATTCCAACTTTAAATCCTGAATTTAAAATTTGCATATTGACAAATTTGCATATGTGTATGTATATTGCTATGGACATCAGACAATATTAGATATTGATTACATATATATTCATGTTACATTTATCTAAGTTATAAGTAAATTTTTAAATTGTATATCCAGTGACCAGACTGTGTCTATTGTTCTTTACAGAAATTACTCTGTCCTTATCTCTGAAGGGGCTGCATTGACCAAACAATCCCAACCTGAGCTAAATCTTCTAATAAAACTAAATACAAATGGGTAATATGTACTTGTTTATATTTAATCATTATAATAACCTCAGTAAACAATCTTGAAGATGAAGTTTTTAGTCTTGCTGGCTGGCCCAGTTTTTCTTATGGTTAGTGGAAATTTTGGTGCTGTCTGTGACCATAAAACTTAATATACCCAGGAATTAATTCTATGACTGAGACCTTATGAGAAGACTCCATGACCTATTGAGTTCAACAAAATTAACACAGAGTGTTTTAGAGCACAGAGATGTGGAAAGCCAGTGAACCAAGAACAAAAAATTTTGGGCTGACAGTTCTGTGTCGTCCTAGGGCCCCTCTTAGGGCTTTCCAGGTTGTATAGTGGTAAAGAATCTGCCTGCCAATTCAGGAGATGCAAGAGATGTGGGTTCGATCCCTAGGTCGGGAATATCCCCTGGAGTAAGAAATGGCAACCGACTCCAGTGTTCTGTCCTGGAAAATCCCATGAACAGAGGAGCTTGGAGGGCTACAGTCCATTGGTTGGACATGACTCAGCGCACACACACACACACACACACACACACACACACAGGGCCCCTCTGCCTTTGTTGTACAATGGGTTTGGAAAAAGTCCTCTGACATTCAGAGGACATAATGATATATTTGCACTCATGTTTGGCTTTCTGATCCAAGTAATAAGTGACACTATAAATTGAGGATTTCTTCAACCTTAATGGATAAAAATGTTTTTGTTTTCCACAAGCCTCTAAGTATAAACTCTTAAGGATAAACATTTTAGTCTCTCAGTGATGAGCTAAAGCTTCATGTTTTAAACTTTGGATCAATTGTTCACTATGCAGAAAACATTAAAGACTGCAGTCCTACCATGTTTTCTCTACCTTTCATTAAGTTTTCAAAATCCATGTTATGGATAGTATTTTTCTTTTTCTCAGGGCCTTTTAATTTTTAATCACGGTTGTCTCAAATGCTGATCATGTTTCTGAGAAATTACTTTATATAAAAGATGGAGCAAGATAGAGTTGCCACATACCTTTTTATCTTTTCTGTGAAATTATTTGAACCTAAAGTTGTGGTGACAAGGTTGCTTCTAATAGACTCTGTTGCCATGGAAGCAGGCTGTTGAAAAGAGCAAGACTCAAGGCCTCCAAGTCTTTGCATGTTTATACCTATGCTCACAAATATATAAATTTTATATTGAATGACAAACCACATACAGTGAAACCTGTTGACCATGCTGTATTTTTCAAAAACAAAAGTTATAGATGTTAATATAGCAAAGTTGAGCTAATTTTATATAATCAAGATTCTTTTATACAATAAATTGGTGAACTGAAATAGATGTTTAAAAATATTTTTAGGAGCCAGAGAGCAGTTATTATTCAAGACCTAAAATGGAAGAGAAGAAGAAAAAAAAAAAGGAAGAAAGTAGAAGGAAAGAAGGAAGAAAACAGACAATTATTCATTCATTGTACACACACCAAGTATGTGTCTGGTTCCATAAAGATAAGATTAATATCAAATGTTTTCTTTCTGTAATCTCATTGCTTTGTTGTTTTTGTTGTTCAGTAGCTAATTTGTGTCCGTTCTTTGTGACCCCATGGATTGAAGCATGCCAAGCTCCTCTGTCCTCCACTCTCTCCCAGAGTTTGCTCAGATTCATGTCCATTGAGTCAGTGATGCTTTCTAACAATCTCATCCGCTGCTGCCCCTTCTTTTGCCTTCAATCTTTCCCAGCATCAGGGTCTTTTCCAATGAGTCGGCTTTCATGGTGTAGCCCAGTCCATTACATATAACAGATGCTCAATAAATATTTATTGAGTGAACTAAGATATAAGGGTAGCAAATACCAATGTTGGTGAAAAAGAGATTTGACTCATAAGGGTGCAGAGAATCTAAGGAGAAGGTAGTGTCCCCCTAGGGGCTTCCCCGGTGGCTCAGGCTGTGTAGAATCTGCCTGCAGGATTGTGGGAGACCTGGACTTGATCCCGGGGATGGGAAGAGCTCATGGAGAAGGGCATAGCAGCCCACTCCAGTGTTCTTGCCTGGAGAATCCCCACGGACAGAGGAGCCTGGCGGGCCATAGTCCATGGGGTCACAAAGATTCGGACATGAATGAGCAGAGCACAATGGCCCTTAGAGTATCATACATATGAAACTGGCTAGAATCAGTTAGATCCTCCTATTAGGGAAAGAGAAGTGCTTGGGCAGCTGACCCACTGCACGTAGAACACACAACACAAGCTCAGGCTGTGTAGAATCTGCCTGCAGGATTGTGGGAGACCTGGACTTGATTCCGGGGATGGGAAGACCTCATGGAGAAGGGCATGGCAGCCCACTCCAGTATTCTTGCCTGGAGAATCCCCACGGACAGAGGAGCCTGGCGGGCCACAGTCCATGGGGTCACAAAGATTCGGACATGAATGAGCAGAGCACAGTGGCCCTTAGAGTATCATACATATGAAACTGGCTAGAATCAGTTAGATCCTCCTATTAGGGAAAGAGAAGTGCTTGGGCAGCTGACCCACTGCACGTAGAACACACAACACATAATGTTCAAGAACACTGGCTATCTCTGGACCTAGTCCAGGCAAAGCTGATACTAAGAGACTAAAATAGAGCAATACAACCAGGGAGACAGCCAGACCATGGATAATCTAACAACTGTTAACATAGTGTGTGCCATGGAAATGAATATACATCACAGAAGGATTTCTACACAAATGTACAGATATCTTTTTCTAAATATTTCAGTACTGTTTAGTATTGGACATGTTCACTCTTTGTGACATCATAGATATATGTTTTAACAGATGCATTTAAAGAAAAATTTTTGTGTGCTTATGGGCTAAGTCGCTTCAGTCGTGTCTGATCTTTGCAACTCTATGGACCATAGCCCGCCAGGCTCCTCTGTCCATGGGATTCTCCAGGCAAGAATACTGGAGTGGGTTGCCATGTCTTCCTCCAGGGGATCTTCCCAACCTATGGATTTGAACCCACATCTCTTTACGTCTCCTGCATTGGCAGGCAGGTTCTTTACCATTAGCGTCACCTGAGAAGCCCATAAAGAAAAATATAAAATTTATTTTAAATTGTGAAAACATTTACTTTGAAATAATTTTAGACAAAGTTGCAAAAATAGTACAGAGTACCTATATAATCTTTGCCCAGTTTCCCCTCATGGTATCTTCTTATATAACTACAGTACAGTGATACAGACCAGAAAAGTAACATTACTACAACAATGTTAACTAAACTAAAAGTCTTACTCAAATTTCTTATTTTTTTTTCATGAATATCCTTTCTCTGTCCCAATATCTATTCCAGGATCTCACATTGTGTTCATTTTTCATGTCTCCTTAGCTTCCAGTGTGAAGTCAAAACCTCTTAAAAAAGAGGAGATTTTTACTTTCATCAGAAAAATATGTTAAAAGTTAAATTTTCAATTATTAATAGTAGTATTGCTATTTTTGGGTCCTTCCCCATTTTCAGAGCACAGCCGAGAAAAGGAAGTAAGAGTCTGTATTTAACTGGGGAGACCTACCACTGTCTTCATGGGGTCGCAAAGAGTCAGACACGACTGAGCGACTGTACTGAACTGAGCTGAACCACTCTCTTTCCTGCAACCTGGGTGTCTCTAATAACTGCTTTGTGTTGTTGGATTTAATTCCTGCAGAATTTTGAGGGGAACATTCAAAATCTGTGGACAACTTTATAGTTGACAAGTTGCAACAATTGTCAACAAGGGCAGAAGAAGAGTAAGAGGAGTAGAGAAAAAAGTCAGGTGGACTCCATTCAGCAGGACATTCTGCTGATTCGGACTAGAAATATACTAAGGAATTGAAATTACAAATACCATCCGAAAGACAGAGTCTAGGATAGAATTTATGACCTCCAGTGCCAGATAAGTATTGTGAATAACTAGAATTAGTACTAAATCCAGGACTTGTGTCATGATAAAAACACAATGAGTGAAAAAAATGGCAAGTATCATCTGGCTCAGTCAGTGACGAAAGGGGGTGTGGTAAACTGGAGGACACATATCACATCTAAAGCAGGTAGTGGGTATTTAGCTCCATTTGGAATTTACAATCAGAGTTTGAGTCCAATGTTGCAAGACTCTCAGATGGTTTTTTATAAGAGAACTTTATGCCCCCCAAAGAACTTTATGTGAAAATTCTTATTTTTATTTCAGTTTTTAAGATTTTTATGAGATTTACATTCACAAAACAGTTATAACATTAAATTTTCTACATAAAATATGCATGTGAGTCTCAGTTAAATACATCTAGCTGCTGAATGGTCTGCTGAAGTGAAGTGAAGTGAAAGTTGCTCAGTTGTGTCCAGCTGTTTTCAACCCCATGGACTATGCCGTCCCTGGAATTCTCCAGACCAGAATACTGGAGTAGATAGCCTTTCCCTTCTCCAGGGGATCTTCCCTACCAAGGGATCAAACCCAGGTCTCCTGCATTGCAGGTGTATTTTTTACCAACTGAGCTATTAGGGAAGCCCCTTAAGTGTTCTCAAAATCTAGGTGACTAATTTCTACTCACTGGTCCTGTAATAGGTATAAGTCAAATGCCATAGAAAAAATTCAAACTACTTCATGTAACAGACATTTAATTTACTATTAGTAAGTTCAAACAAATCAGAAAAAGCCAATAGTCTATTCTACTGAAACTTTATAGGAAGATGATATAGACAACAGTGCTGATAGAAAATTCTTATTTTTAAATGTTAGTAACTAATTTGCCTGTGAGTTTCTCTTGAAACTCCCTCAACTCTTGAATTGCCTAAGAATTCCAAGGCCTTTCTCAGTCAATCAGAGTCACTTTTCATCCGAACACTGTGAAAAGAAAAAAACAGGACTAATCAGTCTTCCTTTGCTTTTACTTCTCCTGACTATGGAGTTCAGTTCAGTTCAGTTCAGTCGCTCAGTTGTGTCCGACTGTTTGCAACCCCGTGAATCGCAGCACGCCAGGCCTCCCTGTCCATCACCAGCTCCCGAAGTTTACTCAAACTCATGCCCATCGAGTCTGTGATGCCATCCAGCCATCTCATCCTCTGTCGCCCCCTTCTCCTCCTGCCCCCAATCCCTCCCAGCATCAGGGTCTTTTCCAACAAGTCAACTCTTCGCCTGAGGTGGCCAAAGTATTGGAGTTANTACTCTGCATATAAGTTAAATAAGCAGGGTGACAATGTACAACCTTGATGTACTCCTTTTCCTATTTGGAACCAGTGTGTTGTTCCATGGCCATGGAGTAGTCGTTAAAGATGGATTTCAACAGATGTTGGTCCACTGCTGATCCAGATCTTATTTGGGCCACAGGTTGTCACACTGGGCTCCAACATTACAGCTGTTTCACATTTCTGCTCTCAGCCATTGCTCCCCAGTGCCCAGAAACATGCTAGACTGAGTATGCCCAGCAGAGCTTCTGTTAGCATCCAGAAGATGTTTTCCTTGAAAAAATATCTTTGGGCATTTTGTGAACTCTAGTATTTGGCCCAGAATCCTACTTTTCTCAGGAAAATTTTCTTTTGCTTTATTCTTTCATCTATCCTACGCCTGGGCCTTATCCTGTACCCCTCTGTTCTACTCTATGCCAACAGTACTCCTCAACTCTGAACTTAGAGGAATAGGAATGGTAGAGGTTGTTGTTGTTCAGTCACTAAGTTGTGTCCGACTGTGTGACCCCATGGACTGCAGCACTGGACCAGGCTTCCTGTCCTTCACCATCTCCCGGAGTTTGCTCAAACTCATGTCCATTGATTGGTGTCGTCCAACCATCTCACCCTCTGTCACAACAGTGGAGTCTGGAACTTTATTTTTTTTTTCTCCAGGAAGCTGAAGCCTCCTCATACAAATTCCCCTACCTCACCCTAGCAATCAACTCTACTGATTAGTTTTGATAAATCACTAAGTAAACAAACAAATGAGTTGTCCTGTTACACCTTCCTGAAGGACAAAGATAACACTAATGTTAAGAGTTTTGAGTTTACATAATTCAGTGGGGCTATTCAAGTGACTCAACCCAAAACAAAGAAGGTCTGCTCAAAAGCAGTCTCATCTTTAGGCATAAGAACAGCTTCTCTAAATATGAAAAGTTTCCCTCAACTTGCGCTTGAGGTAAATCTTTACTTTAATACCCTGTTATCCAGATTTAAACAGTTTGATAAACTTGAAGTCATTTCTTATAGGGAGCCAATATAAGAAGTAAAAACAAAGATATACAAGATTATTATTTAAATATAATGATTTGACAGAAAAATCTTACTTCCCCATATGAAATTGGAATTGAAAATGAACAAATTTTTAGCAAATCTTTAGTAGGTGAAAGTGCAACAGGTGTATACTTGTTATATATATTCAAATATCTGCAAGAAAACTACAGCAAGCACTTAAATATTCTGTGCTTAGAGACAGCCTTGTTTCTGGTTAAATCTTTCACTTAACCTTCTGTACAAAGTGAATAGCCAAAGAATGCTTCAGTCC